CTCTCTCTCTCTCTCTCTCTCTCTCTCTCTCTCTCTCATTTCGTACGCATGTGCGGGGTGAGTGTTGCAAGGAGCGTGTGGGTGAGAACGCTGCTGTGGTGAGAGTGAACTTTTTTCTCTCTTTATTCCTGCTTTTCCCACACTGTTTTTTCACAAGTGGTTTAGTGTTGATTGTCTTAAAGTTTTGGTATAATTTTGTAGCGGAATAAGTATTGTGTGAAGTATAAAGTGAGAGGACGTCGTAGGCCGGTGTTTGCCGGGTGACTATGGTGGCATCGGCGGCGCCCGGTCAAAGCTTTGACCAAATTTCACGCAGGCATGGCATTAAAGTTTTGCCTGTTTTTAATTGTTCGGTTGAAGATTGTGCCTTGGCTGTTGGGAAGGCTGTCCTTCAAACAGTAATGAAAGAATTGCCTTCCTTAAAACTGTCAGTGTTTTTTTACAAAATTGTAATCCAGATGATTATATTTTTGTGGGGGGAGGGATTTTAACTGCACGGAAAATGATGCTCTTGATAGGAACCATTTGATTGAACCATACACGACTTGAAGCTCATACTGCTTCAAGTCGTGTAATACGTGAATTGATTGAAACCCACAGTTTGTGTGATGTGTGGAGAGAATTGAACAATAACAATAGGCAGTATACATGGGCACACTCCAGAGATAATGTTATTTCAATGGCCAGGCTTGATAGGTTTTATTGTTTTAGATATCAATTTAATATTGTTAAAAAGTGCTTAATTATTCCAGTTGGGTTTTCGGATCATTGTTTTATGTGAGGTGTTTATAGCGAATGTAAAATAAAGAGTGCTTATTGGCATTTTAATGAATCTTTGTTGGGTGATATGAATTTTAGAAATGTGTTTTGTAATTTTTGGGAAATTTTCAAAAGTAGGAAAAATTGTTTTACTGATTTAAGACAGTGGTGGGATTATGGGAAAGTTTAAATTAAAGCATTGTGTCAACAGTACGCTTTCAATGTCTCTAGGGATATTACGCACTCAATGAAAAAAGTTGAATCCGAGATTATTGACTTGCAAAAGTTGTTTGTAGTTACTGGGGAACATCAATGTCTTGATGCTCTTAAATGCAAGAAGTCATTTCTTACAGACCTGTTGGGTATAAAGTTGCTCACACAAATGGATGCCCCATCAAGGTTTTTTTTTTGGCTTAGAGCGGAAAAATGGGCAGAGTCGATTTATTCACTCTATTCGAACAGAGAATGGGCAGGACTTGAAAGAGCCCACAAGTATTAGGAAAAGGGCTGTACAATTCTATGCTGAGTTATATAGTAGTGAATATAAAGAGAATGAGGAGTTATCTGCCAAGTTTTATGACGGTTTGACAAAGATTACTCAGGACTCTGAAGTAAAACTTGAGAAGCCTCTTACAGAGCAGGAGCTTTTAAATGCTTTGAAAGATATGAAGACTGGTAAAGCACCAGGTATTGATGGCCTCTCCGTCGAGTTTTATAAGGCTTTTTAGGGAGTGATGGGCAAAGACCTCTTGGATGTTTTAAATGAAAGTTTAACTGTGGGTTCCCTCCCTTTAAGTTGTAGGAGGGCAGTGGTCACCTTACTGCCAAAGAAAGGTGATTTGCAGGAAATAAAGAATTGGCGACCTGTAAGTTTACTTTGTACAGATTTAAAGATTTTCTCTAAGGCATTGGCTAATAGATTAAAAGATGTGATGGGGCAAGTGGTTCATTCTGACCAGACCTATTGTATACCCGGAAGGTCGATTATGGATAACATTAGTCTCATCAGAGATATTTTGGACGTCTCTGGTTATCTTGATCTTGATATAGGCTTGATTTCAGTTGATCAGGAAAAAGCTTTTGACCGAATAGAGCATCAATACCTTTGGAATACGCTTGATGCTTTTGGCTTTGGGTCCAATTTTAGTGGAATGATTAAAGTATTGTACAAAGACATTGAGAGCGTACTGAAGATCAATGGTGGTTTGAGTGCCCCTCTTAAAATTGGGAGAGGTATAAGGCAGGGATGTGCTCTCTCTGGAATGTTATATTCCTTGGGAATAGAACCAATGTTAAATAAGTTGCGTTCTTGTATTCAAGGGTTTAAGTTAAGGAATCACAGTGTTCAACATCAAATATCTGCCTATGCGGACGATGTCATGATTTGAATCAATGGAAAAAAGATGTTATTAATTTGGCATCAACTGTTAATGAATTTGGTGTAATTTCTGCTGCAAGAGTGAATTGGGAGAAAAGTGATGCACTGATTAAAGGTAAATGGAAGAATGGTTTACCAATTTTACCTGGTGGGTTGAATTGGAAAAGGGGGGGTCTTAAGTATTTGGGTGTGCATCTTGGAGATGAATCTGTGCAGTAGAAAAACTGGGATGGGATTATAGAAAAAATGGAGGGCAGACTAAAGAAATGGAGATGGATTCACTCTCAGTTATCTTTTAGAGGGAGAGTACTAATATTGAACAACTTAATAGCCTCAACTATGTGGCATAAGCTGTCTTGTGTGGAACCTCCCACAGGACTATTGTCACGTTTACAAACAATATTAGTGGACTTCTTCTGGGACAGGCTGCACTGGGTCCCTCAAAGTGTGCTTTTTTTGCCAGTGGAGGAGGGAGGACAAGGTTTGGTGTCTCTATCAAGCAGATATACAACATTCCGGTTACAGTTCATTCAGAAGTTTTTAACAGGCTCTGTGGATGTGATATGGAGAGAAGTTGTGAAAAGCATTCTTTACAGAGTGGATGGACTTGGATTAGATACTGCTTTGTTCCTCACAGATACCAAAAAGCTACACTTGAATGTCTTCATTCTACCATGGATTGTTTAAAGTGTGGGGATCTTTTATTATTAAAAGACCAGAAAATGCTACTTCTCTGTTCTGGTTGTTGGAGGAGCCTCTAGTTAAAGGGGCTCGTTTGGACATTACGGATCAAGTGCCGAATCTGTCTCAGAGATTGTGTGACACTCAGACTGTAAAGCTTGGTCACATGATTAAAGTGGCCGGATCCAAATTGAAAGACATTGTGGCTGTGGCATCTTTATTGGGAAAGAAATCCATGCGACAAACCTCAACAATCATGGAGTTATGGAGAAAGAAACTGACAGCAGAGGAATTGTCGATTCTTAAACGTTTTGAGGAAGGAAATGTACTTCCTGAGCACTGAATTACACCAGGTTTAAAAGAGACGTCTGGTATTTTGTTAAACTTGAATGGGCTTCAGGACTTATTATTAGAAGAATTAAGTGGAAAAGTGATCTACAAATGTTTTGTTAAAATATTATACAAGTCCATACTGTGTGAGAAAAGTGATAATGTCTGGAGGGAGAAATTTGACATTGGAAATGAAGTTAAACCATTTTGGAGGGTTTTATACAAACCACCATTGATGAAAAAATCAGGAGATCTACAATGGAGAATCCTGAAGGGGGCTGTTGCTGTTAATGCTTTTGTTTCGGTTATTAATTCCAATGTTAATGAAGGTTGTGTTTTTTGTGGGTTAAGAGAAACAATTTTTCATTGTTTTCTCGAATGTGTTAGGCTCAAATCTTTGACTTTATTGACTTTGACACTTTTTTGTATTATTAAAACAATTGTTTTTAGGTTTTAAGGAAAGTTTCACTCCTAAGGCTTTCATTTATGGGGCAGGATGCAACCGCAATCAAAGACTTAAATGGCAGTTGATTAACTTTATGGTCGGCCAGGCAAAAATGGCCATATATATTTCAAGAAAAAACAGGATTAAAAATATACATGGCCAAGATGGTGTACTGTTGTTTAAGGCATTTATTAGGTCTAGGATCTCGGTGGAGTTTAAATACTATAAAGAGATGCAGGATTTGGACACCTTTGTATTACAGTGGTGTTGTAATGAGGTTTTTTGTACTGTGTTTGAGGGGGGCTTCATTTTTAGTCTTTTGTTGTGTTGATTGGTTTTGTGAAAATGGTTGGATGTATCTCTATTTAGGGCCAAATAACATTCAAGTTTACTTTGTTTTTCTGTTGTTTCAGTCCAATAGGTTAGATAATTTTCTTTTTGTGCTTTTATAATTTGGTTGGGCCGAATTTTGTGGATGAATATTTCAGAGTCCTGATGCTGGATGTTGTTAGTCATTTTTGCAGCTTCAGGACCATCTGAATCAGGGGACTTTTTTCAGGGTTCACTTCATGGTTTTTAAGGGCTTTAAAATGGGAAGAGTTGGGGTCACTCATTTTTAGGTGTTTCCCAAATGTGATGGCTCTTTTCTCAATGCGCATTAGTAGAGGGTATTGGCCTAATTCTCTCTCTCTCTCTCTCTGTGTGTGTGTGTGTGTGTGTGTGTGTGTGTGTGTGTGTCAGTCAGTCATGCTGCTGTCTGGCATGGCTCGAGCAGTCACACAGCACTGCCGCAGGACTCCTGTCCTCACGCTCTTCACCAAGGTAATACTCTCAAACACACACACACACTCTCAGCGAATCATCTATCAGATCTCTTCCTCGAGCAGCACTCAGGAAATGACTGATAAATGCAGTCTCTGTAGCATCCAGAGTGCTGTTAACACCAGTGAAGTAATGCATCATAAAGCCTGCTGGAATGATGGAGTGCAGTGTCTGTGTTGTGTGTTTGTGTTCCAGGAGCTGTGTCCTCTGTGTGATGAAGCCAAAGCAGCGCTGGAGCCCTACAGACACAGAGTAAGATCCGCTCACACTCCTCAGCTCTGTGTGTGTGTGTGTGTGTGTGTGTGTGTTTGAGCTGGAGGTTTGATCAGGGGTGTGTGAGTGGGTGGT